TCACTTGGAGGCCATACCCAATTATTTCCTACGTAGTAAATTTAGCTTATTTTAGGTCTTATTAGGAAACATGACAGTGTATTTTATCTTTTTCATTGCTGGTGTCCTTCAGATTTTAAAGAGCCAAAGTAAAACAAAAAATGAAAAAAAAAGACAACTGTTGTTGCATTATGCACTTTGCCATCAACATCCCAACATGCACTGTAAAGCAGTATGAGAAAGAAAAACTTCTGCAAAACAATTGAATTTCATTAATCAAGAATAAACTGCATGACCTTGTGGGCTAGCCTTTCAGAGAGCAACAGGCACTGTCTTTTATCTACTGGCCAGCCCTGACAAGCCTAATTAAGATGATCACCTTGATGTAAAATGCTTTACTTTTTATTCCATGTGTATATAAGTAATTACTTACCTGGAAGCATGAGTATAAGAGGAATATATGTCCATGGACATCCTTTCTTTCTACATTAAAGAATATCTGCTGCAGATATTTGTAGAACCATCTTTTCATCTTTTCCATGTCTGTTCTAGGGAAAAAAACGTAAATAGTGACTACGGGTTACATTTACTAGTTTATTTAATGGCGTGATGGTCTCTGATCCCTGATCCCAATAATCATATCTCCTGCCATGCCACACATGCATAGCAGGAGGTGCGATTGTTGGGATCAGATCCCAGTGGTGCCATTACTGCTTGCCAGTGCAGGAGGAGTCCAGGATCACAGAAGCATTCCTGGGCTCTCCCTGCATCAGCAGTTGAAAGCTTACGGTGTCTTTGCATCTGCTTTGAAGGGGGCATTATAATTAAAATAGCTCTTAGGAACCACTTTAATTAAAGCACATGCAGTGTCTTGTGTATTCTGTGTCCCACACTTCAAAATGGTAGTGGGGGCACTTTAACTAAAGCTCATTTGAGGAGCTTTAGTTAAAGCACCCCTGCTGCCATTTTGAAGCACAAGGACACTGAATACACATGATGCTGAGGTTGCTGGGGTGTGCTCCAATGCATGCTAATTAGCACACATCAGAGCAGTCGTTGGGCATGTGTAGGTGCCCTCAGTGTCCAGAGCCTGGTGTGAATTGGACCAGTCCCAGGGCCCAGACCAACACAGCTAATTATCAGTCCCAGGCCAGGTTCTGCACAATGTGGTCCCAGGACTGGGACTGACAATCAGTTAATGGTTGGTACCAACCCCAGAACCAGCCCCTGGAACTAACTCCAGTGTGCTCCCAGAGCTCTGGCTTGTCACTACCCTGCCGCATGTTTAATTTAGGGAGAAATGGAAACCAGCCACAAAAATTACTCATACTTGGTGGAATATGTTTGTGACTGCTTTTCCATCTTTTGTGATATTAATTTCTTCAACATGTGGCAGGGTTACGATTTACAGCATGATTAACAGGTTAATCACATTTTGAGTGTACCTGCCAGGGGCCCTAGTAATACCTACACAACAGAAAAGTTCTGCATCTATGATAAGAAAATAAAAGAAAAGAGCATTTTACAACAAGACAACACTTTCTACCTAGCCAGGCTGCTAGCACCAGAGACCAAAAATACCTTTGTCTAAATAAAAGTCTAAGTATAGTAAATTACTTATTCACCAGATTCCATAGGTTAGTAATTTTTAGGTACATAAAATTCTGTATTTTTTTTCTTCTTAGAATATTCATAGAAAATTTAGTTCATTTTTCTAGCTCTGGCCTAAACCATTATATATAACCATATTTACACTTACTAATTCTAATTTCTTATATCTCACCTTTTAAAAGAAGTTCAGAAATTAGTAGCAGGGAAGAAACACATGCAGTGTATCTTTCCACTTTACTCCCTTACTTTAGGGGCAGCAATGGCATCTTGTAGCTGAGACCATCACAGATAATTTCCCACACAAGTTCTCACTTTTCTTTATTTTTAATCCCTGTGAGTGAGGCCACATTATGCTGCACAATAGGGACAACAAATCACAAATATTTTCTCAAGAGAAAAAGCAACAAGTGAGGGTCCTCATTTTTCCCTAGGCTGAGTTGTAGTCACTGCTGTCACTGCCATCCTGGGGGGTGGGGGGGAAGTGTACAAGGGAGGGGTGGGCAAAATGTGGCCTGCGGGTCAGGTGCGGCCTGCCAGGCCATTCTATCTGGCCCACAGGGCCCCTAAAAAATTTAGAAAGTTAATATTTATCTGCCCCTGGCTGCCTGTCATGTGGCCCTCCGCCCAAAATAATTGCCCACCCCGATACAGAGCAAGCACAGGAAGGGGGGGCCATTCACTGATGCTGTTCCCAGCTGATTGTGGCACCCCACACAAGCACTCTCCACAGCCCCTGGCTAGAGCGTGGCAGGAGCAGCCTTGAGGATCCCCTAAGTCTGGGTCAGCCAAAAATGGTGGTGATGACAATAGTAAGTGCGGCCCCACTTCCTGCATATGCTTCCAGGGGCTCCAGCTGTAGGGACTGGCTGTGCAGGGTGCTGGGCCTGACTGAGAACAATGGCAGGGGTAGATGGGCCCTAATTCCTGCCCACCCCCATTTTTCAGCTGTGGGAAGGGACTGCACAGGGGGCTTAGCTCAACCAGGGGCTGGGGCAGTAGAATTAGGTGGGTCCTCCCTTTCTGCACCTGCTCCCTGCCTGGCCCCTCCTGGGTGTTCCCTACTGGTCTGGGAGTGGAGAGCTCTTTGTGGTACACATTGGATATGTCTACATGTGCAATTAATGTGCCTGAATTTTCTGCGCAGAAAATTCAGGCACATTAAACTGCACCTGTGCATACATCTGAACGTGAGTCCAACCAGAGCAAATTTGCCTCTGACAGCAGTGGTTCAGTCTAGGCTGCTACTGACCTGCTCTGCCCCCCTGCAACAGCCAGAGGGAGTTCCAGGCTCCCCTGGATGCCAGCCCCAGGCTGGCAGGGGGCATGGGGGCTGGTCCGGATCTCCACAGGGTCAGAGAGAGCTGTCCTGGCTGTCTCCCAACTGCCTCCCAGCCACATGGAGATTGGTATGAGTCCTGATCGTCACAGGGCAGGGAGGCAGCTGCCCTGCAACCCAGACAGTTCTCCCAGCTCCGTGGAGATTGGAACCTGTCCCAATCTCCACGTGGCTGGGAGACAGCTGCCTGACAGCTGAGACAGCTCTCCCTGCCCCCTGTGATCTCCTGCTGCCTAGGCTGACCAGGAGCAATTTGCTCCCAATCAGCATGTACACATGCACTTTGGCACATTAGACTAATCTATTAGGCAGTGATTGCTGTGCATCTCATATAGATGGTAACATCTCATGTAAATGCACCCAGTAGGAGGGTTATGTGACCATACCCCCTGTATCCACCCCTGCTGGCGCTGGATTGTTATATGGAGAAGATTTAACTTCCAATACTTCAACTGAATCCACATGGGCAAAACTGTGTGCCTGAAACCAACCTGGTGGCCTTTTACGATCAGATCACCAGATCATTAGATGCAGGGGTAGCAGTGGACATAGTCTTCCTGGACTTCCAGAAGGCTTTTGACACTGTCTCTCACCCTGTTCTCATTAAGAAACTGGGGGGCTGTGGCGTAGATACACACACAGTCAAATGGGTCGCCAACTGGCTGGAGGGCCGCACCCAGAGGGTGGTAGTGGATGGGTCCTTCTTAACCTGGAAGGACGTGGGCAGTGGGGTTCCGCAGGGCTCGGTCCTCGGGCCTGC